AACTATGTAACTCTTTTAAAAAGTATTTTACTAAAAATTTGTAAACGTCATTTTAAAAAGCAAAGTTTTTTCTATACACCCTTTAAATCTTTTTTAAATCGCATGAAAATTGTGGAAGATTTTATTGTAGACTTTTACAAAAATATAACGTCGTTTTAAAAAGGGCAATACTCTTAATAGGTTTTATAAAAACGGCAACAAGATTGTGAAAGTTATGTTCAATTTTGAATACATAATTAGTTTCAGAATATGTAAAATTTTAATTAAATTTGATATTATATTAACTTATTCTACTATTCTGTTTAAAACCGCAAATTTAAATTCAATTCGGAGCAAAACTAATTAAAATCATTAAATCTAGAATAGGCCAAATAAAATGTTTAACTTTTAGCTGTTAGTTGTTAAACAGGTGTCCCTCGTATGCCTCGGGTGATTTGCACGTTTTATGGCACGACCCGCGGTTCAGAAATAATTAAATGGAAACGGTCCCCCGAACGTGCGAATTAATTAATAATGCTCACTTTTTTATTCTACCTCTCTGTCTCTTTCTGCGTTTGCGTCTACGCCCCTGCTATTACAATTAGGCCGGCAAACCCACAATGCGAAAGAAAAAAGTTTTTAGGTCAATATTTCAAATGATGAAGTATTTTTTAGTTTTTAAGTTTTCGACAAACAATCTTGTCGATGCCCGGAAGACACAACGCCAAACAAACACTTATAAAAGTCGATTTATCATCACTTGTTCATCAAATATTTGCCGAATGTCGATTATATGACTATAATTTCATTTATTTTATTAAGTGAAAAATTTCAATTACAAAGGTACTCGTTAAAATATAAACACAGCTGCATTAATTAAAATGCGCGAATGCTTTGAAAGGATCATTCCTTTCATGAGAATTCTTTTTTTCCTTGCGAGGTTTACTGAATATAGGCTTCATTATCTTTAACAGTTTCCTCGAAAATATCAGGCATCGCTTAAGTCGACCTTAAAGGCCAGATTACACGTTGAATTGCTCAAGATATGGGCCCCTTATAATTCCAGCAATATGCTTTTGCTACGATCGTATGTGAAGAAAATAAGATTCATTTAAATCAGGTAAGTAAATAAAATATAGCTTTCTGATAATTCCGGCAAAGAAGTTTTTCATCATGATTAATGCATTTTATCGATTCGAAGAATGAGGACAATAAAACCCATAGCATGACATTATTACCGTGGTAAATTGGGTTTTTTATTTTTTCGCTCTGCGTTGGATTTAACCTTTTAAAATGTTACATTTTTAATTCTGTTTGCTCTAAAAAAATGTCAAGTTGTTTAAATATAATTTTATAGATACAAAATAACGTAAATAATTAAGAGATAAAAATTCTTTTTATTTCATTGGTGTATAATTTTTTTTAATGGTGCACAGTGGCGGCCCGTGACATTTCATTTTGGTGAGGCAATGGCAGGGTTTCGCCTTCATTTAAAGGCGAAGACATTTTTTTAAACCCAACTTAAAAAAACTGACGTCGCAGTTCATAACCTATACTTAAAACTAAGTAAAACAACTTAGACTGTGGTGGGGAAGGAATCCTCTACTTTGCCAATGAAATATATTTTATTGTAAAAATTACGTTTATTTTAAATAAACCTCATTTTTGTCTAATTAATATTTCATTGTTCAGCAAGAACCACAAGGTCAACAATATCGGTACAATTTCTCACCGTAATATCCATAATGACTAAATTCACATAAATGACCAAGTTCAATTAACTAAACCCACAGAATAAACCACTTACAAAAGAATCATAAAAAGAATAAACAAAATATTGCGTAAATAACCACAGATTTGTTCTTTAAACAGTTCAGAATTTTATAACCAAAACAAACCTAAAGAAGGAATCTGTATTTATTTTATTGGTTACTGTGATGGTTACAAGATGGCGATAGTGTTAAAATATGTTTATTTTAGAATAGAAATATAATTTCGATTAAATCGATTTATTATAGGAAAAATAATACCATTTATTATTGAATTTTGAAAAACGTGTGAAGTATAATTTATCTAAAATTCCGCAACAGTTTTGCCACAACACCTGCTTATTTCCTTGGATGTAGGCGTGCCTGCCTCGCGTATGCTAATACGAGAGAACTATGATATCGCATTGTAATAGAACGAGACAACAAGGCTAACGCCAATCGTGAGTCTAAATTAGTTCAGGCATGCTTCTGAGCCAATCATCTAGCTATAAATATTAGCTTAAATTGCGGTCGTTTCAAATTCAAATAATTTAAATGTTGCTGGGTATTCCACGTATAAAATCAATCAATTTTATTGACCATTTCACAATTCATGTAATCCAAATATTAAAAGTTTATAGTAGTAGTTTTTTAATTCTCTATGACAGACCGCCACTGATGGTGTAAAATCTACATCTGTTTTATTTTGCATTTAAAACACAACAGATATGGGACAGTTAAATTTCCAAACAAAATCTTTAGTTTAATATTTTTTTAAATTTTAGCTTGGTTTAAAAATGCACCAGTGTTTTTCAATTAAGCTTAAGTACGCTACCGAAAAAATGCATTTGTATATTAAAAACATTAAACTGGATTAAAAATTAAATTGCTGTTTTGAATACCATTCAATCAGAACAAAATTAAATTATTGGAATTTTTTTTAATTAATGAAATTTAAATGTATACATTTTATTAGTTAGCTATGAACGAGTGTTTAATTAAATGAGTGTCTATAGAAAAGATTATACTATACTTTATCTATTTTGAGTTCATAATGACTTCATTATAACACCGCTTTCGGTGCTGTAATAAGGTACTTTACCCCACCCAAAATTTTGATTTTATAGGTTGGCTATACTTTAAACATCATAATATTTTGCATATTGGTTATAATATTTTTATGATTTTTCTAGTACTTACGAGACTTTTCTGGCAATAAATTTTGTTTAACACCAAAGAAAATCCTTTTTTTCTTCTTTAACATTAACAGCCGCATATTGTAAATAAGTAAATTAAGGACGGCATGGCAAATCGATTTTGACATTAACTGTCGACCAAATTAAAGTTAAGGTATAAAATTAAGTTTTTTTATAGAATTTTTGCAAAATAGATAAAATAGCAGAACTCATGTCATATTAAAAATTCTTACACAGGAGCCGAAACCCTTAAAAATAAATATCTCCCTTGGAGTCTTACTAATTGAGGGTTAAGCCTGTGCCGGGGGATACATTGCTGAATAAAATATGAACGCCCCCTGGCGGCGTTAACGCGAACGTAAAATGTAACGCGTCTTTATTTTCTCTAAACGTTATTACCAACTGATGTTGGTTTATTCATTCATTAATGAATGAATAAATGAAACCCACATGAAAGGGATGCTGTGTGTAACTCTGAAATTTTCTCTATTCAAGAAGTAGTGCGCTTTGATATCTTAAACAATACGGCGTGTTTCAGCGCACGGAACAGTTTTGGTTTGCTGAATATTGAAATTCTGTTGAATAATGCCTGAATAGGCTGTTTGCATTAAGGTTTCCATATGTCGATGGGGTAATTAAGTTTACCTAGGTAGGGAATATTATTTATTTAAAATTTATATAGGCCGTTGTTTTAAAGATTTTAGTTTTTTCTTATAAATAATAAAAAGTATAGTTTGTTTGTTTAAACTTTATTTACGTTTACTTAAAAATAAGAATATTTGAATTTTTAATAATAGTTTTATAAAAACATGCAAAAAAGTATAGTAATTGGACATTTTATATAGTTATTAGACACATGGACCATAGTTATTGGACATACAATTTTTATATAAACATAACAACTTTACATTAAATAACATTAATTGTTAAATATTTTTTAAAGATAAATTGCTGTTTTAGGAAATTTTTTTATTTACAATTATGTCATAGCGAAAAAGCAGCCACTAATAATTCTCGTCAACAGAAATTTGTATCCAGGACATTTAGCAGTCAATTCCTGTGAAATATTATTCGCTGAATCCGAAAATGTCGTCAAAATTTAATTTTACATATAATAAGTAATTGACTATATCTCAAAAACTGCTTAACTTTTATAGTTTTTGACGGTCTCTTCTGATTCAGGGGACAATTTTACATAAGAATTGGCTGGTAAATGTCCGGGATACAAATATAGACATATGTCCAATAATAGAAATTTACATTTTTTACCAACCAGTATTTGGACACTGGCCATTTTACTGTTTGTTTTCAGAATTAAAATTAAAACGCATTAAAGTGGCAATGTTTATACCACGCACTGATCTGTACACTTTTTAGAAATATTTTTTATTGTAATTTAAACACAGCTCTTAATAAAAAAACAAAAATCTTACCACCAAAGTAACGTGCGAACTTTTTTGTCCTATATTGGACCCAAAATAAAGTAGTTTTTGAAAAGTGATAAAAATAGTATATTCTGTTTCAATTGAAACTTAAGTTTGGAATACGTTTGAATCTTATGACACAAAGTTATAGGGTAATATAGGGTATGAAAAGAAATGTAACTTTCAAAATTATTTTCTAAAAATCTAGAAATGTGTATGTATCTGATTCTATAAAAACTCTTCAAATGAAGATACTAAAATTTTGTTCAATCAGATTTAATGACGTAATTTATTAAATTTGGAAACTGCTGTTTATTTCTTTTATGTCCAAAACACTCGTAGACAAAATTTCCCGTTACTACAAACATTTTTTGGTTCGATATTTCTTGATAAACATTTTAAACCAACACATTTTTTCCACTAATTATAATTTTAAGCAAATTAGAATACTTGGAAATGTATTATCTTTTTACAAAGTACATTTTACATTTAAATAGAAATATTGATGATTTTAATGATGATTTTCCAACAAAGAAACAATAACAATACTTTCTAAATAGATAATAGAATAAAGTTCAAGGGGAGTACAATGCAACTTCATTAAGGACAAAAACACACAATACAGCTACGGGATAATTTGTGGTTTTGCTTACCTAAAGGGCCCATTTCGTAGTGTAGTAGAAATATCAGCCTGAAGGTCGGCGTGACAACTTAGCCCAAGGCCGTGCGATCCAAGCGGGCTTCGTCTTCCATGTTTTCGAAATTTAGAGGAATCGTTTCGGATTTCTTGTTCCGCGATGTTGCCATTTCGGATTCGGGCGCTGAAAAATATATACAGTTCATTTTTTTTTATTTGGACTACGCCAGTTTGAATTAGTATTTTTTTTCTGCTGAAGACCTTAATTCAATACTCTGACACTGTCGAATTGACAGTAATATTTATTATTGATAATTTACTTATTAATTATATCGATATAAAAAGATAACTATGCCAAAAATAATATCGGATTCCAAAGTAAAAGAACTTTCAAGTGTACTATTAACTCAAAACATTAATTTATTGAAATGATAATTATAGACAGTGTCAGCAAGTTAGAAATTATAACCTACTTTAATTTTATTTTTTGCTCCACAACCAAGTTTTAATTCATTTTTTACTCGATAAGCAAGCTTCAATTTTAATTCCAACCTGAGGAAAGTAATATTTACCCAATACTTTAAGACTTTATTTTTTATGTTGCGATCGGCTATTTAGATATATAAATATTTTTTATTCAGTTTTTCAATTTTTTGTAATTAGTTATTTTGAATTTTTTTATATTTAATATAATGCTATATAGGGTGTTTCTGGAGAAACGCAAACGATATGGATTTGAAATTTTAATAGCATATACAATTTGATTTAGACTATACCTAAAGTCAATAGTTTTCAAGATATTAATTTTTTTCGTTAAAATTTTGCTAAATGCACGTTAATCAAAAATAGCCTTTAATTTTTTTGTTATTATGTTTGCTGACAGGGGGTTGGAGTTTTTGAAATATTGTTTAAATAATTTAATTAATTTTTTAAAGGTTTTTTAACAAATAACTTGAGAAAAACCACTTTTTAGTATAAACTGTATGTTTTAACATAATCAAATAGAAAACTAAGGAGACTTTAGATTGGTATTATAATAACTGTTTCCTAAAGTTAAAATTTCAGAGACATTTAACAATTTCTAATATTTTCAAAACCATTTTGTAACAACAAACCTGTGAAATTCTACATGTGGGTTAATGTGACAGCATCCATGGTTACCACTTAATCTGTTATTGTTTAATAGTATATTATGTATCAAGTTTGATAAACGCCATTTTATACACGAATTTAATTTAGGCACGAGCGAGCTTGCGAGCGAGTTCTTAAATTATTGAGTGTATAGAAAAGTTTATAAACGAGGTGCATACTATACTTTTTCTACGACAAATACTTATAATTATCTTAAAATGATTTAAATCAAAAATATGTATAGAGCGCCATCTATGAAACAACAGGGGAAACTGTCAAATGTTACATTTTTACATTTTATAAACACAATTATAAAGGTTATAAATCGAAATGTTTCTTGAAAATTGACAGTTTTTCACAGTGAAAGTAAAGGAAATGTTTTATGAGGCCTTTGCAGTATACTCTATAGAGTCCGTGCCCGAATTTAAGTTATAAGTAGTTTACTGCCGGCGAAATTAGAAGGTCAGTACAATGTTCATATAAACTTTTCAAATATTGGCGTTGAGAAACTATTTAATATTTTTGTATTTTTGTATTGAGATAATAACATAATTTTCACATTTAGTATTATTTTACAAGAAAGGCACTTTATTTTAACGATTGTATGACATTTGACAACTGTCAACTAACTTAAAACTAACTTCAGCCCGTGACTAAAAACCTGTTGCTAACTTCAGCCCGTGACTAAAGCGCCATAAAGCCACAACTTGTCAATGTGTATTTAAAAGGTCACTTAGTGTCATGGAAACATGTACGATAAAGGGCGTTTTAAAGGTGGGAGTAGAAAAAATTAATTAAAATATTAATAACTCGAAAAATATTGACTTATATAGGATATAGGATATGGTATAGCCATTTTACTCAGAATTTTATGAAGAATTCAAAGATGTAAAAATTAATGGGGTGTCCGGTAAAACACGAAGAATTATTTTGTTCAAAATAATTTAGGAAAAGTCTAAATCGAATAATTTAAGCTATTAAAATTTTAAATTGATGTCTTTCGCTATTCCCTAGAAACTTTTAACGGACTACGTATGTGAAACACCCTGTATATTAAACGTGATTTATGTGTTATGCTATACTTAATTATTAATAAAATATAAACAATATTTATATAAAAATGACAAAATGTACTAAACTAAACATTTATGAATACTGCTACTGCTAATTCAAATCTGATCCTGGCCACAGAAACATAATTTGCATAAAAAAGTTAATTTATCAAATAATAGTCAAATATCAATACGTGTTATACTCAAATTTATAAAACAAAGTTGCTTCTTCGATTATTTACCCTTAAAAAATTGTTAAATTTTAAAATAAATTATCACAAGCGCTCCCTGTACGTTAAAATCTAAACAATATTTTTTCATGGATTATATGTCATTAGTAAGATCTACATTTTGTTCGAATTTCAAATCGATACGTTTTGAGAAAAAAAAGTTAATTAATAATTAATCAATTTTGGTTCTATCAATTTCTCCCTACTATTACATGTGTTCGTAAATCTGCACACATTTGTAACTCCGCTTCCAATTTAAATTCCCGTTTTATTCTCGCTGAAACGTTGTAAATTTTTAAACCCTGTCCCTAATCCATTGTAATATTTTATTAGGAAAGGATAGGATATTAAGTATGAACCCTTAAATGTTTTATTTTACGAGATTGTTCCCGCCATGTTAAGCCGAACTAAAATTCCACTGCCTCGGGGCGCATGAAATCTGAAAGACGCCCAACTATTTTGATTAAATAAACTGCCTAATTCGCGCCGGTTGTAATAAAGTCTGCAAGAATGAGCCCGAAGTGTATGTTGAAACACCTTTGGGAGAGAGGTGATATTTCATTATATTTCCAACTTTGCTATCTCTCTCCGGCTGTCGCAATTAATTATAAATTCGTATAAACGTATGATTTCAATTAACGATGTTTTAATTACGCTATGTAATCCCGTCATAATGCCGCAATTTTTTTGTCAAACAACAAGCATTTTTCAAACTAGTGTAGTGCCATCGAGGAACACTACACCCACTTACACCTAATAGGCCTTTGTTTTCATACCCTATTCATTGTAGGTTAATCAATAATTTAATGATTTTATCCATTTGAATACATTCAAATTTTCAGTTTTTTTCTTTAATAAAACCGTTTACCTATTCTTTTACATAGGTACCAAAATAAAAAAAACATCTCGAAAAATTGGTAGGGCTGGCTCAAAAGTTTTGGTCATAAAATTAAACTTTTTATTTCGTTTTAATAACACTGCTCTGGGATATTCCCAAATCTCTAGATAATTCTCGTGTGCTTGCATGAGGATTAGCAGCCGTTGCTGCTAATACATCACTTTCATTATTTCCACCAGTGACTGTTTCTCGACAAATTTTTTTTTCTGTTGAACACTCCCGTTTGAAGTAAACTGCTTGACTGTACGGTAAAATGAAGTACGTGATTGAATTTTTTCAGGAAAACGCTGAGCGTAGATATTAACAGCATCATCAAGATTCCTGCCTGCTTCTCCATAAATCAAAATCATTTCTATTTTTTCTTTCACTGTTAAAAATCCATTATGAATAACTGCTTAACGAAAGGAGGTCTTTTTGTTTGCAAATTAATCTTCGAACTAAATTGATTAAATAATGCTAAACTATGTATAAATAGTTTCTTTATACCTCAATTAGGATTAAATTAATTTTTTACCTTAAATAAAGTGTTTTTATTAAAAATAGTACAATAATCCTTTAAATTAAAGGATTTAATGCTGGCAGGTAAAAAGTGACCATGGTGCGCAATTGATAATTATTATTATTAATTTTTTCTAAATAGCTATTGAACCGATAATCTGATAAAAAAATGTTTAATATATTAGTGATAGAGAATGCATTTACCTTTAATTTCGCCTCAAAAAAATCGCAACCCGCTATCTACAATCGAAGATACACCATATTCAATGTTTCGTTCCTGATTTTGTTTGGACTGGCGCGATTGCCAAAACGTAAACAATCGTTTTGACTTTTTGTGTACACACACGTTTAAATAACACAACGGTCTGTAACTAAGAGGTTGTGTTGTCAATATTTTACGGTTGTAGCTGGCAGTTCGCGTGCTAACGATGCAAGAAAATATGAACTCGAAGCTGTCCCGAATAATTTTAATTTACGAGTCTTACGGTTTCTTTTGTGCCTTACAAAGGGAGTGTATTCGGGAAAAAATTTATTCCAAACTACTATACTTTATATAACTTTTATGTCAAATGTTTATGTAGTGGTCTAATAATTTAATATTTGTTAAATAAGGCCAAATGCAAGTCATAGTAAAATTATCGTTATGTTGGTTAAATTTAACTTGTTGGTTAATACCTTTTGGTTAGAAAGAAGGTAATATACGGTAGTTTTTGTTTTATTTTATATGATATATCGCCCTTGAATATCAATACTCTTATATGTAAGTACATATATCACTATAAATCAAAATAAACGCATCTTTTCTGTGATGAAACCTATAGATGCCTTCCAAATTAATTAAAGGGCAGGGGACTGTTTTTAGATTTGTGGATAAATAATTATTTACAACTTTGTTAACTCTTCTACAGTAAGTTGAAGAAAGTCCATATTTTGTAAAAATATTTATTTTTGGCTGCATTATCACACAAAACTCACAACCTATAGGTGTATATATAAAGCTGTATTGAGACTTATTTTTCCACATAGGTAACAATGAAAACCAGCGAGTTAAATATGTTTGGTAAAATATAACTTGTTGGTTAAAAAATATATATTCAAATTAACCAAAGCTGTGGTTAACTTACCAAAAAGTTAAACTTAACCAACCTTAATTAACCTATAGGTAAATTTAGGTTATTTCAAGAGTTTAAATCGACTAAATAAACTAAATATTTAACTAGTTCTCTTATTAGTTAAATTATACTTATAACCTTTGAATTTACCTTAAAAAATGTTAATGGTTAAATACAACTAATTGGTGAAAACACAAGTTTAAAAAAACGTTATTTTACTTAAATTTTGATTAATTTACCAAAATGCTACTTATTATTCACCATATTTAAACAATTTATTTAATATAAATTAAGTAGCATAAAAACACAAACTAAATCAGCCACTTCTCAAATCCGAATTGAATTGTCCAGCTGAATTATTAAACAGATTTGGAAATAAGAAGATTTAGTAAATTTGTTTTCCCTTTCATTTAAATTTTTAATAAGTTCGCATTATGTTTCAACAGAAAATAAAAAACCACTCTGGCAAATTGACTGGGCATTTTTTTATATTTTGGCAATCGATTTGTGAAAATATTATTATTGTTAAATAATTCATTATACTGAAAAGGTTGTTGTCAATAATTATTTGCTTGCTTCAATTATTGACATTGTTATTATTATAATTAAAAGTAAACTTATTTATGATACCCATATAAATTTCTGGTTGTAAAAGCTAAATATTTATTAAAGGGCACGCTATCCTTTAATTTATACATTTACCTACTTCTATTTTTAACGTGGTGGTGATAAAATCAAAATTTCACTTTTAACTTAGAACTGTTGAATATGTTTTTTGGGTTTTAAAATAAATATATATTTTCATAAAATATTTTGTTTGTTTATAGCCAGCTAAGAAAATACTAAAACCATAAAGCAAGCTTCGTGAAATAATAATAAATAATAAGGATGCTCTAGTAATAAGTATAAGACAATTTACCTTTTCAGAAATCGAAATCAATCGGCAAAAAATCGAGAAAAAATCAATGAAGACAGAAACAAGACATAAACTGGCACAGAACACACGGAAAAAAGATTATGTGTATAGTGTTTATTATTTTTTTTGAGTATTTGTTGGGCACTTTTTACGGAATGACGATATAAATAAAAAACAGTGTTAGATTTACATAGATGGTAAGAGGTGCGTTGCTAGACAGGGAGTAGCCTGAGCACGGCCTTTCCGAGGAGCGGGAGAAAAAGGAGGGCGGCGAGGGGGCCCGAAACAACTGACAGTAAATACGGAGTGGGGGGCTGGGAGATCCTCGGCGCGCGCCGCCCCTTTTTCCCGTCTCTTTTGTGCCTTTGAACCGTTGCGAATACGAGCAGGCACCGTACAGCGTTGCCATGCCCAGCGATTTTTCACCAGCATTTTGTTTTAGTGAGAGAAGATTAAAATATAAAAAAATACGCAACATTGCTAGCATTTAAGTCTAAAAAACTTGGCAACGCTGTATGTCACAAGTGATATTTTTCATCAACTGAACGGCTTGTGCGGGTTAGGGGTAGGAACGGACCGCGGGTGTAAAAGCAAATAGTTACAGTGATCGGATATATTTGTTTTATCTGGTGGCTTCATGTAAAAATTGTTGAAATTAATTTTTTCACCTGGCAAACCTGGCTATTACGGACGGATGCGAGAAAATTATGATGTATCGCTCGTGCTATCATATCCGGGTGATTTCGGAATTTATCTGCCGCTGCATTGACAACTTCGCTCTGGTACACTAAACTGTTCATGTAGCCCCAGATAAACCAAAATAACAACCGAACTGTCAGTAATCAATGATAACAAAGTACCTACTAACCGATTTTGCTTGGATGAATATTATCATTGTTTTTAGAGGTAAAAATTACCCTGGAAAAGTTATGTAACTTTTTATGTCGGCCTGTGTAAGAAATAAAGCAAATTTAGTACTTTGAAATAAACCTTTATTACTTATTGTTAAAACTTTTTATTTTAAGTTTAGTGGACCATCCAAACATAAAAAGAAAATAAATCACCGTTAATCGAAATTTTAACAAGCAGTTGCAGGATTTTTCATCGTTGTCCTCTTCTAGTTATCAATCTTAAAATGCCTCGCATTCCAACAAGGCAAACGGCAGGACTCAGGAATAAAAAGGAATGGAATGTGGTCAGGAATTTGATTTCTAACTTACCATTTCCGTCTGAAACTCATGACAATAATAATAAACAAAAATATTTACTCATTTTTATTTTACTTAATAAAACTTATAAATAATTATATATACAGGAACTAAAACATTGCTTGTTGCAGTATAATTAAGCAGAATAAAATAAAAAATTACCAGAAGGGGCACCACCCAATATAGCACTGGCACAAGTTCTCATTGCTTGTTGCCTGTTGTATCAACAGGTCGACTTGCTTGGAGACCGTCAGGGATTTCTCGGTGTTGAAATCCTGACCTGTCAGTTTATCCCGCACTCTGTTAATGATGACGACCGCCTTTTTGTTGACGGCTTCCGGTTGGGAGTCGTCCGGAACGTCCGAGGCCAAAACGCTTCTCTTCCCTATGGTCATCGTCAAGGATTCTATCATGTCCGGGTCCTGCGAGGTAGCGGTGGAGAAGGAGTTCTCCTCCCCGGGATTGGACCGCTGATTTCTCGTACCAGTATCCATGAGTCTCCAGTTTAGCAGAGGGTCGTACACGAAAGCTTCTAAGACGGCCATGAGGCTGTCTTTATTCCTGTGTAGCACCGACATGACGGATTCGCAGGTTCTTCTGTAAGTGCCTTCGATAGCCGTAACCTCCATGGCTTTGGTTAACATCCTTGTAAGTCTGAAGGGGATTTTTTCGGGGAACTTCTCGCGCGTCATGGCCACCTCGAAGCAGTCGCCGAAATCAATGTGCAGTATTTTACCGCTCAACCGATCCAGCATAAGATTGGACGGGTGGCGATCCCCCAAACCAAGAATGTAACCGACCATGGACATGACCGCCAACGACCTGGTGTAGTTGGTTCTTCTATCGAACCACACCTCGGACGATGGGGATTTCAGCCACAACAACCTGGCTAAATCGTCGCCATGCGTCGTCTCCAACGCGTGCTCGAAAACCTCAACCTTCTGCATTACAGTCAGGTGATCGTAATCGGGCGCCATCCTCAGCATGATTCGGTGCTCGATGTTCAACAAAATCTTCTTTTTATCCCTGTAATCTCTGATGAGGGTGTGCAACGTGTCGCAGTGCGGAACCCAACCGATCAGTCCGGAATTCGTGCTCAACGGTATCACGGCGTACCTCTGTATCGTCAAGTTACGTCGGAAAGTGTCCGGGTCTTTTAGAAGAAGAGTGTTAACCAACCCGAATAGTTGCATCACTCTTTCGTCCTGGCGCAAATCCTCGTGGCCTTTCAAAAGGAACATGTAATCCTTACCGTTGCTACCCCTGATTATCAGCTTTCTCGGACGCTGTTTCGATGTGATAACCTAAGAGTAACACGACAGTGTTACAAACATGACCAACAGCCATTTTGATGCAGGATAGACAACAACTTTTCAAAACTCGACATGGCCCAGGCCCATACAAATTAACAGTAAACAAGAAATAATTTAGCTCAATGGTTTTCAACAAATATTAGAAATATTCCCCACCAAAAAGTGCTTAAAGTACTTTTCGCCAACGATGTTGGCATCTTGATTGCGAAAACGGACCGGTACCCAACTTGTATTGTATTACCTCTATTAAAACTCACCTCTGAATTGGAAAAAAGGTTGATAAACTTTCCACTTAGTAACAGTGGATACAAGAAATAGCTCAGTTTCATAAAGAGATTGCTAAAGACAATGGTTTTGAACCAACCCTAGTTCTAGGTTAACGACTTTTCAGAGCTAACAGAGCCCACAAAAGTCAAGTTTATGACTATTCCTTTCGAACCCCAGTACACCCGAGGTCTGGAAGGGATTTTTCGAAATCTGTACATACTTCACAACCTTTTAGGCAACCCCAAAGATAAGATTCCTTTAATTGAATTGTCGGGGATCTACGAAATAAAGTGTCAAGATTTTGACAAGAAATGAGTTGGACAAACTAAACGATCCATCCAAGTAAGGTTCATAGAACACCTGGCCCATGCTAGATTTGGTAGGACTGAAAAATCGAGTGTTGCCCAAGATATACTTGATGATGGTCATAGAATAGGATTTGACAACCTTAAACTTATTAAGGAAGTTAGTCATGAAAGTAAACTTTGCTTTTGAAGATGCCACATGGTATTGGAGAATATTTCTACTATTTGTTTATCATATCACCAAAGTTGTCCTTTTTTAAGTATAAATCATTTTGAAATTTCCCTGGAAAAGATGCTGGCTACCCTGTAAGAGAATGTAAACAAGAAACAAACAAGGTGTAGTTACCTCAAGTGATCTGTTGAACTCGGAAATCCTGACCACAGGCTGCCCCGGGGTGTAACTGCCAGGTACTGCCAACTCCATGTCTTTGCAGGCTTGCAACTTGGGGGAAACGTATTGCAACTCCAAGGAAGTCAGTTGCGGAAGCTGCCTCGAAATTCTTCTGAACACGTGATAGTACAAGTCCCAGGCTTGATTTAAATCCCTCGTATTGCTTGTAACCTAAAAAAATAAACAAAGTAGATTAATACAATAAAATATGATGTTGTTTCTCCACCCTAAATCTCTGACACCAATCGTGAGCGTCGTGCAAATCCCTCCCGTAGGCCTGATGGAAGCTGGTTTCTTTCAACGTCTGCGGTCCCCGCTCCATCATCCTGTGCAGAGGCTCCAAAATCCTCAGCATGCCCTCGACATCCCTCTCCCCAAAGTACAACCTGGACGCTTCCTCCAAACCCTCGTGCCAAATTTCGTGCCACAAAATGGCGACCCTGATCAACTCTTCCGAGGCTATTTTGGCCTGATTCACGAGCACGGGCGAGTGCTCGCTCATCGACGTCAAAATTTTGTTCGACGCGCATTTCCTCCACGCCTGGTTGCTTTTAGTTGCCACCGTCAGAGGGTACACCAACGCCTGCGGAAAAGTTTTACCTATGTCGACCAACAAGTGGTGTATCAAGTTGATGGTGTTGTTGTCCATCCTCGCTATCAGCTGCGGTATCACTTGCAGCCACGTGTTTTTCTCCACCAGTCTTATGCCGTCCACCAAGGCGTCGGAAACTTGAGGCATCTGGCCGAAATCGAACCACAACGTCAGCAACCTCAGAGTGTCCTGCAAGGAGCTTCCTTTGGACAAGTTAATAGACCTTAAAAAGTTTATTATAGAGACTTAGAGAAAAATATTGACAAAGTTTTACTTGAAGAAGCCTTGCACGGCAGAGACAATCAGCTTGGTGAAGTCGATGCCTTTGTCGTCTTGGAAGTCTTGTTTCACCAAGTTCTCCGCCAAGTTGTCGGCGCTACTTTTGTTTTTGTAATAGAGAACCGTTTCGAAGTTCATGTAGGCCCACGAATGCCACGCTTTGTACCACTTCGGGTCGTTTTCGGTGGCCGATTGGTAGGATCTTAACACGGGCAAAATCGAAGTTCGCGATATACCTTCCCTAGCTTCCTGCCAAGAACCCAACTTCAAGTAACATCTAAGGAAAATGTATTTCAAGAGTTTTCCATAACACTGGTCGACGGCCATTTTGCTTTAGCAAAATGGCTGTCAACCGGTGCCATAACAATAATGAAGTACCTAGCCAAAACGTTTCTTTTATCATCGATATCATAGGACGGTTCTTCGGCATCGGGTCTATCGTACTGCTCCAAAAATTGCGACAACTTATTAAACGCTTCCTCCTTATTATCGGTAGCCCATAAATGTTTGGTATACGCGAAAGTTACGTGTGGTTGAGTGACCGGTAACGGTTTATCGGGGTTCAACTGAGGGTCGTATCCCATCAACATCACCAGTGTTTTGTGCGACAATTTCTTGAGGAAAAAAATAATTAATCACACATCAACGTTAAAAAACAATGTACCTACCACTGACCCGCTCTTCCTGCACAGCGAGGCGTACTTCAGCCACGTGTGTATGTCCTCGTGGGGTCTTAGCACCAAAGAGTGTATCTGTATGATCCTTTGCCAGTCTTCGGCGAGTCTCTGCCCGCTTTGCAGCCTCTGCCACCACATTTCTCTCAACGTGGCCCTCCTTTCAGGCACCAACTTGTAATGCATGACCTCCTCGAGTTCGCTGAGCATTTGCACTTGCACCATAGCACCGTAAGCTCTCTGATAGGACTCGCAAGCCATCGCCGTCAGTTCCGTATCCAGCAAGTCTCTCGCCATGTGGATGTATTCTTGGGATTTTTTGTAGTTCTCCTTGTGGATGTTCAGTATGGCTCTGTAGAAGGACCCGTCGAGGGAATCCTCGGGTATAACGTTCACGTATCGCTCCATGGATTCCCAATCGTGCAGCCCGAAGGCCGACGCAGCCGCCAGTCGGCTGGCTTTCTGCACGTTGTCGTCGGACAAAACGGAGAAATTCTTCTCGACCACGTCGTGAAGACTCCCCCACTCGCTCAGAGCTTCCAGGCAACGCATCTGCCCCAGGCACGCCTCCTCGTCGAAACCCCCGCCCTCCAACTTCTCCTTGTACATGCCCAAAGCTTTGTCCCAGTTGTGCAGCTTCTCGTACCACCTCACCTGCACTTGGTCGCCCCCCTTCTGCATCACGTGCTGCAGCAGGCCTTCCGCGGCCTCTTTCTGCTGCAACTTGTTGTTGATGGAAATCAACGCTTCCACTATGTGCCCGTTGTACTCCCCGGACTCCACCTGCAAGAATTCCTCCTCCTTGTAGTAGAGAGCCTTGGCGTACGCCCTGCACCGCATCGCGTGTTCCCCCAGCAAATGCCCGTCCAGAGGCAGCGGACCTTTATCGCAGTGCTCCATAAACTCGGCCAGATTCAGTATCGTTTGAGTAATCTCCGGAACGTCAACGGTCAAAGCTTTCTCCAGGCATTGCATCAAATCTTTCTGCATGGTCTCGCTCAGCTCCGTCCAACAGCTAACGAAAGCGGCGTTGAACAAATCTCTGGGCAGTTGCGAGTATGTTTGCGCCAGAGGGAAACAGGAACGTAGAGCTGGAATGGGCGATTGCTTTAGCAGCTCAATGCTGAGCCGCCTTAACCACTCCAACCAGTCGTCCTTCGAGGCTCTCCTCACTTGCGCCCAGGCTTGCTGCAGGTTGGGTTCCAGCACCTTCAAGCGCTGCATGGCGCCGCTGTCGAGCACAACCTCGGGATCCACCCTGCTCTTGTCTTTGCCCCTGAATCGCGGCTTGACCAAGTCGGTTTCCTCCGCCATCGTGGTCTCTATGTTGATCCTGCTCACCAGCATGTCCCACTCCTTGCTGGGTATTTTGTGCTTGTGTATCACTTTGTTGACCATCGGCACGAAGATGACGAATTTCCGGCCCAATTGTATCACCAGCGAGTACAAGGTCTCCATGGCGATGGGTCGAAGTTCGGGGCAATGGTCGATGGTCCTCACCAGAGGGTGCACGATTCTAGATATAAAATCCGAAAAATCTATTATTTCGGCTAGTTGGTCTATAGTTTCCAAAGCTTGTTTCGACACGGCGGTTGGGCAGTCTTCAGCATCGAATAACCTAAGGAAAAGATTAATAGCGTTCTCGAAACATACATGAACAAAAAAACAAGGTCTGTTTTATCAGATTGGCGAAGAGGTGTAAGCATCCCGATGCCGCCATTACTAATATTTACATTTTAATGTGAGTTATTTTGCAAGTGTAAAAAATGTCTACCTGCCCAGTGAAAATCTGTAAAAACAAAGCCAAAAGAAAAAACCTCGAACAATTATTTTCCTTAGTACAGTGTACAAGAAATATGAGAACAAGGAAAATGATCTTTAAAGAAAACTCAAATACTGCAGTGTAAGAAATTAAAATGAAATTTGAAAAACAAAATAAATCAAAGTTAAATCTTTCTTTTTGCCCTGTGCAGGAAATGTGCCAAGATGATGAGTCCATAACAGAAACTCAAACTGCTACTGAAATTAAATGGCCCGGGATTGAAACATCCCAAAAGCATTAGAAAACCAGCTATGTACCATACCATAATATAATGTTTTTTACAAGTTTACCTTGTTTTATTCAATGTTGGTGGTCAATTTAGGGTTTTTATTTGTCAACTTAACCTTAATTGCAATTATTTGTAAATACAATTTTGTAATAAATAAATTTACAAAAAATATGTTGTTTAGATTTTTCTTTTTAATGTTGTTAATGTTGTAACTTGGCTTTAAATCAATGTATTTTATTTGATTGAAAAACCATTTTTAACGTGTCGTCCTGCTGAAGAACATACCTTTTTTTCTTGTACCAAGTGTAATAAAAACTTACTTTACAATAGGAGGTAAAATTAGGTGCATATAATCATCTAGATTGTTCCCGAATTTATGCAGAGCTTCCAACAATTTAATGGTGTGTCTTCTATCTTTCGACGTGTCGTGATGCAGAACTCTCAATATTTGCGGTATCAACCGCGGCAAGTAAACTTTAAACTCGGCACCGAGAGCGGTAGCTATATTTTCCAGTAAATGTATAATGGTGCTCTGGATCGTGCTACTGGGCGTCCAAAACTCCTTAACCAAGCTACAGATGTCGTCCAAGTAGTTTCTTATGTGCTGCTTGACGATCGAAATCAGTTGCGCCAATTGTTGGAACAAAAACTCCCTGAAAGGCAGTTCGGCGGTGCGCACCACATTCAAAAGACTTGGAAGAACCTTTGCCAAACAAAACGATGAAAAATATGTTGATACGCCTTTGGAAAACACTCACCTGAGCAATATAGGGCACGCATTTTATCCCCAAACTTTTAAACGTGAAAGTGACGGCTTGCACCACCATGGTGTGGTGCTGCGATAAGGTGGGGTCCTTCAAAATTTTCATCAGCGTTGTGATGGCCATGGCTAGAAAGTACTCTTCCAGCGTGCTGGAACTCATCGTTACCAGCATCTCGCTGGAATTCAAACCCTCGTCGTCGCCGACACTTTTATCCGACATCGGAATCAACATGGGCGCTTCGGGTTGATAATCAATCTCGCCGCGGTTCATTTTGTGTTTGTAGGGGTCCAGGGCGCCTGTAAAACGAACGCTGAAGATCTACCCCGTAAAAACGCAACGAAATACCAACCTAACAGACCCAGAACCCTTATAGTCTCCCGTCTGATGTAGGGCTGCTGCTCGAACTTCAAGAAGTTTATCAGAACGTCCAGCAAGCTGGGATAGTTGTTGTAGGGGCGGATCACGTGCCCCGTCGCCCCCACAAGCTTAGCTAGGGTGCACAGAGCGGCCCCTCTTTTTTCAGGGACGGAAGCGTCGCTTAAGATGTCAAGCAATTTTTCCATTAACTCCGACATCCAGTGTTGCAACTCTGAATCGCCACCTGTCACTTCAGCTAGGTCACCTATGGTGGTTAGTACCGATAAAACGACCCCTGGATTGGGTTCTGGTTCTTTTAACTTAGGAACGAGGACCTTAAAATACCACCACAATGTTTTATATTGGACGAATTTTACTCAACTATCATTCTCTGGTTAAGCTCCAGTTAGTCCATCTGACAGTTAAATTTCATATCGATCGTTGTGAGAACAATGGTTTCCATGGAAATTATCTGCCAGATAACTAACTGCAACTTTAACTGGACATTGATAAACCGGCCCTAAGGGATGTAACTGTATTTTTTTTTTCTTTTTCTACTTAAATTGGACATGTAGGTATTTTTTATTTAAATTGATTTCTTTTTTTTTTAGTAAATATTGATTATTTTATTTGACATTACAAATATTTCATTTACTTTTTTTTTAATCTCAAGAGTGATAGATTCAAATGTGACAGATTGCAAATGTCAAAAATAAAAGATAACAAATGTTTTTGTTTATTTTCTTTCTTTAATATTTTTAAACTAAATTTGTGTTTTTTTTATTTTGATTTTTTTTTGATAAAAATTTTGGTAATTGTCCTAATTAGAAATGACAAATGGCAAATGTCGAGAGTGACAGATGTCATAAATGACAGATAGCAAAATTCAAAAGTGAAAGATGACAAATGTTAAAGATTGCAAATGTAAAGTGAAGGATTTTTTATTTGACATTTAAAATATTTTATTTACTTTTTTTTTAATGTCACAAGATTTTAAAAATGAAGGATGGCAAATGTAAAAAATTACAGATAGCAAAAATGACAAAAAATTTCAAGAGTGAAAGATGTCATAAATGAGAGATGGAAAATGTCAAAAGTGAAAGTTGTCAAAAATGGCAAATTTAAAATATTTCATTCACTTTTTTCAAATATTAAAAGTGACAGATTTTAAAAATGACAGATGACAAATGTAAAACATGACAGATGTCAAATGGTAAAAACTGGAATATTTTAATAAATTTCAAAAAATGACAGATGAAAATGTCTAATGTGACAGATTGGCTATGTCAAAAATAATAGATAAATAAATGTTTTTTCATTTTCTTTCTTAAATATTTAATTGTGTTTTTTGATTTTGATTTTTGTTTAATGAAAGGTGTCAATAATGACAGAGCAAATGTCAAAAGTGACAGATGACAAATGTTAAAAATGGCAAATGTAAAGTGACGATTTTTTTTATTTGACCTTTAAAATATTTCATTCACTTTTTTCAAATATTAAAAGTGACAGATTTTAAAATGACAGATGACAAATGTAAAAAGTGACACATGTCAAAAGGTAAAAACTGGAAAATTTAAAAAAATGGCAAATGTAAAAAAATGACAGATGAGAATGTCAAATGTCAAAAAATGACAGAGGGAAAATGTCAAGAGTGACATACGTCAAATGTGACAGATTGCAAATGTCAAAAAATAGATAAATAATAAAACTAAAATTGTGTTTTTTGATTTTGATTTTTTTAATGAAAATTTTCTTAGTTAAAAATAACAAATGGCAAATGTCAAGAGTGGCAGGTGTCAATAATGACAGATAGCAAATGTCAAAAGTGACAGATGACAAATGTTAAAAATGGCAAATTACTAAAATTCTTTTTTATTTGTTTTACTGAAAATGGAAATTTTGTTTATTTTACCACTGTTCTCACAACGATCGATATGAACTTAAGCAAAGATCGATAAACCGGCCCTGAACCAACTTACCTTTAAAATAGGTTCCATGTAGGGCCGTATTAGTCTGGGCGCGCTAACCACCAACCTATCCAGCATCTTGGCGCCTTGCTCTTTATTTCTACCGGTACCGGAGTGTTCCAGCTCGGTTAAAAGTTGAACCAGGGCCTTCCTAAGGTAAGGCATCACGTAGGCGGGGTTCATGGAGCTCAGACGGCCGATCATGAATAAGGCAACCTCGCGGATTTCGAATTTTTCGTCTTGCAGGGAGATAAATAAAGCGCCTAGGGATTCGGCTTGGGCTAGATGGTGATCGAACGTGGAATCCAGCGAGACCAGAACCCCGTACCTCACGCTGGCCTCGGTGTCGGTGAGGCCGACCTCCAGAAGCCTGTGCAAGACGTAACCGACCGTTTTCGATATGTTCTCCGATGGGTTTTTGGCAGTGCTTCTGATAGCGTGCCGCAACAAACGGCACGTCGTCCTCACGGCTTCGAGTCGGATCTCGGTCTGCTCGTGCGCCAAAAAGTAGTTGGCGCACCTTTCGACGAAAGGCAGGAGTCGCTGGCCCTCGAAATCGAACGTCCCTAGGGTGTGCAGGGCCAGGACTATGATTTGCGTCGTGCTTTCAGAAGTGCCCGTCAGAGGCATGACGTTCATCGCTAAATGCCTGGGCATGCCGGGGTGAGTCAGGTTTTTGCTCAGCAAGATAATCGAAAGCATCTTGAGGAGACCCAAACTGATTTTCTCCTTGTGCGCCGGACACCTCTTGGCCAGCTCTCTAAGGCACACGGTTAAGGATTGGGTGAGGCCGGTGGCCAACATTTGATTTAGCAGGGCCGGTATTTCCATTTTGTCGTGCGATTTTAGAGCTCTCCCTAGGAATGTGATGCATTTAAAAACGCTGGAATCGATCGGAACGCGTTTTTTGCTGACGAATTCGCCCCTGGGTAGGGTCATTTTGATGTGTTCCATGATCTTTTCCACGTATGGTTCCATTTGTTCTTCCACTGCAACCGCAATAAGACCTAAAAAAGGATGTTATAGTTTATTTAATCCTTACTTAATATTTACTAAAATTGAACTTTTTGTTTTGTTGTTCTATAATTCTATTATCTAATAAAGTGGCAATTTTTGTTTTTTGATTTTAATGTTTTTTACTAAAAATGTAAATTTTAACATTTAAAATACTTTTTTTTAATTTCAAAGGTGATGGAAGTTAAAAATAACAGATGGCAAATGTGAAAAGTGACAGATTGCAAATGCCAAAATTGACAGATGGCAAATGTCAAATTTTTTTAAATTAAATTAAAAATTTTGTTTTATAATTTGTTTACTTGAATAGAACCGTAGATATAACCGTAATCGTAACCGTAACCGTAAAACCCGGAACCGTTGCATCACTAATTTTTATCTTTTTCAAAAAAAAATTTTTTTCCACGAAATTTGGTGAAAACTTACCTTTTTATGTCCCAAATACACTGTAATTTATTTTATTTGAAATATTTATTATTTCGCCTTATTTTGACTTAATATCAAAAAAGCACCCTAATTTTCAATCGAAAATTCTCGCGTCAAAATATCAGCTTTTTTCAAAAAGTCGGTGTGCTTTTTGTTCGTTGAAATCTCTACTTTCTGATGGTGTAAAAAAATATACATTACTAGGTTAAATGTTCTCAGAAAATGCAAAAAATATTATAATGAATAACGAAAAAAACTCGAATTCGAAAATTTATTTTAATCATTATGTACAATTTCATCAAAAAAATGTGATTGTTGCAATTTTTTAGTTAAAAAGTTTATTTATTAAATTCTAATAACATTTATGTCAGAAAATCTCATAAAATATAAAAATACATGTAAATCATACTATTGAATTTAGATACTTCATTCTGATGTACTTAACACGAATAAAGATGATTATGATTATGATTATTATGATTACGTTATTCATTATAATATTTTTTGTATTTTCTGAGAACATTTACCATAGTAATGTATATTTTTTTTACACCATCAGAAAGTAGAGAGTTCATCGAACAAAAAGCACACCGACTTTTTGAAAAAAGCTGATATTTTGACGCGAGAATTTTCGATTGAAAATTAGGGTGCTTTTTTGATATTAAGTCAAAATAAGGCGAAATAATAAATATTTCAAATCAAATAAATTACAGTGTATTTGGGACATAAAAAGGTAAGTTTTCACCAAATTTCGTGGAAAAATTTTTTTTTTTGAAAAAGATAAAAATAAAAAACTTGGTTTTTTGAATTTTTCACATAAATTTTGAGGTTATGTGAAAAAATTGTAAATACAAAAGTTGTAGATCTTTTTATTACCTACAACTTTGACATTTAACTTTTTTCCATAGGACTTGTAGTTTTGCCGGAAATCGAGATAAACCATTTTTTACCCTTAAACCCCCCCTCCCACTTCCCGAACTCAGATCGCCCGTAATTTATTTTTCCTTTAATTTTTAATATATTCCCCTCCTTTTCCAATGGGTTTTATCCTACTGTTATTTTTTTTCTCTTTTTACCATTTTTAAAGGCTTCTGCACTGGTCTAAATGTCAAATGTGACAGATTGCAACCGTCAAAAATAAAAGATGTTTTTTTTAATTTTCTTTCATATTTTTAAACTAAAATTGGACATTTTGTTTTATGATTTTTTTACTTATCTAAATAGAAATTTTTTAATCATTTTTTCATAATTTTTTTTATTTTGATTTTTTGGACTAGATATGGATTTTTTTATTTTGCATTTAAAATATTTGATTCACTTTTTTTTTAAATATCAGAAATGACAGATGTAAAAAATGGCAAATGTTAAAAAATGTCAAATTTAAAAAAATTGCCAAGGTTAAAAAATGGCAAATGTAAAAAATGACAGATGAAAATTTCAAGAGTGACAGGTGGAAAAGGTCAAAAGTGACAGTTGTCAAAGATGGCAAATGTCAAGAGTAACAGATTGCAAATGTCAAAAATAAAAAATGATTTTTTTTCTCTCTTTAATATTTTTAAACTAAAATTGCGTATTGCGAAAATTTTGTTAATTTTTTTAGCTGAAAATGACAGATGGCAAATGTCAACAGTGACAGATGTCAAAAGTGATGTGAAAAATGAAATATGTCAAAAAATGACAGGTGGGAAATGTCAAGACTGACAGATGTCAAATGTGACAGATTGCAAATGTCAAAAATAAAAGATAGCAAATGTTTTTCTTTTTCATTTTCTTTAATAAAATTTAAATAAAATTGGACAATTTGTTTGGATTTTTTTTTATAAAATTGTTTTTTTTACATTTAAAATATTACATTTTTTTTAAATGTCAAAAGTGGCAGATGTTAAAAATGACAGATGTCCAGTGTAAAAAATGACATATGACAGATGGCAATGTTAAAAACTGTCAAGTTTTACAAAAAAGGCAACTTTGAAAAAATGACAGATGGAAAATTTCAAATGTGACAGATTGCAAATGTCAAAAATAAAAGAAAACAAATGTTTTTTTTTTCATTTTCTTTATAAAATTGTGTTTTTTGATTTTTATTTAAATGGAAATTTTGTTAATTTTTTAGTTAAAAATGTCAAAAATGACAGATACCAAATGTCAAAATTGACAGATGACAATGTCAAAAATGAAACTTGGTAAATGTTTTTTTCATTTTACTAAAATTGTTTGTTTTAATTTTAGAATTTCCCATTAAAATTGTAATTTTTGATTTTAATTTGTTTTACTAAAAATGAAAATGTTTATTTTTTTATTTGACATTTAATAAACTTTGGTTAGTGAATTGGTTTAATATTAAGAAATAAATTGTTCATTACCTATAGTAACAAAGGCAAAGTTCTTGTTCTTCTCTCTACCCTGCAAAATATTAAACAAATATTGCATAGTTGAAGGCAAATGCACTTTGAACAGCTGTTTATCAAAAGCTGCCAATCTTGGTAAAATAGTTAATATGGCTTGTTGCACATATGTATACCTAAAATTCATGCATTTTATTTAATATTTACACTATAATTTCACTTACTTTGAAGTGAATCTCTGTGCCAGCACATCAAGACAAATATACTCAAACTTTTCAGACACCAGCTGCCTGCAAACAACAGACTCCAATATCAAAGGCTTCTCTGGCAACAACTTGGGCAAAATATGCGTGCTAGACTTCTTATTGGGCAAATTATACATAAACAGAGGCCTTTCGAACGTAAATTGATCGAATTCGATGCTAGATTTAGTGTCGGTGGTTTCCAAAAGTTGCGTGTACTTCCGTTCCCACTGAGCGTTGGAAAAACGCAGCAATTCGTTTAAAATCAACAATGAACCGTGAACTCTCTCATCTCTAACCTTCTCACCTCTGTCTACAGTGAGGAGTTTGCCGGATTCCTCATAACACTGTTTGTACCTAAATAAACGTGAATTATAACCTAACACTGGTCAACAGATTTACCAAATTAAGTCACCATAATGTTTTTTGATTTTCTTTGGTGAACTCCCTTTGAGCTGTAACTATAAGAGCAGCCCGTAGAGCATCTATGGCCCCTTCGCGAATCGCCGGCTTTGGGTCTTGGGTTGCATAGAATATAAGCTCGAAAAATTGCGAAACTTGTTGGTAGAAGTATGTAGGCATTGTCATTGCCAATTCCTTTAAAACCAACACTGCTGCATGTCTTTTACCCTGTTTGTATTAATTGATTGATAATAATTTAAAATTGTTTATATAAATCCTACATACCTCATTTCGGTCGCCTCTAAGCCACTCGTAAGCTCTATTAACCTCAAATTCCATGTACTCTGATGCTTTTGAACCCGATACTTCAGCTAGTAATCCTGTAGTTCTAGCTACAAGTTCCATAACACCAATATCGTTGGACGGCAACAATCTCCTCAAATAATTCGCGAATCTCGTTATTCTCGTGGTCATATTGTCCATGTCGGCGCCAATAAAACACACTGCAACAGATTTTTGTTGCAATGGACTCATACAGGCTATATTTGACTCGAAACTTACCAATGGCCAAAATACCCCCTTTCTTCTCGTTTACGTCGTTGCTGTTAATCATTTCGAATATCTGGTGGTTGAATTCCTCCATGAATTGATCGATTTCATCTTGGGGCGCCTCTCTCAGCTCGCTTTTTGCGTATAAGGATAATTCTTGAACGGTTTTCAGTCGAGCGGTTTCGTTCTTCGACTTCAAATTGGTCACGAAATTGTGCAGCACCGTCGAAGACATGTTGCTAACCGTCTGTTTTACTCTTAGGTAAGCGATAAAAACAATAACATTTCAATATTTTTATTCCTTGAAAGCAGAACAACTACTTGATTTGAAGGTTATGTTGTTCAAGTGTTGCCAACTGTCATATATATCATTGCGATATATATGCAACCAAGATAACATTTGTGTTCTCGGTTGCATATATACGACAATTAGATTGGAAAAAATAATAATTATTATTAATAAAGGACTGGGAGGTGAAACAAAAGAGTTAAACGTAAGTAAACGAATAATATATTTCTGTAGGTACACTGAATATAATTATTTTGAAAAACTCTTAAAATCTACATAAAAAACACCATACGTATGGTCCATACTACACAGAATAAAACTAGATATTAGAGTGACTATGAACTAAAATTTAAAATAAGTAAATTCAAAAATAAATCTCTTATATTTACAAATAAGCAGATACATTTTCTGTAATATGATGTTATTTTAACCAAATTTATATAAGAAAATAATACTGAATACTATATACAGATGAATAATAATAATAATAAGTAGATGAATTGTGAAAGTTAACAATTGAAAATTATGAAAATAAAAAGTGAGTTGTCAATTAATAAAACAGTAACTGAGATTGCAAAATAGAGATAAAAATAACACACAACTTTGAGTTGCAACAAAACAAGTATTTAAAAAATCATTTAATAAAATATTTACAAAAGAAATAATGGAAATAAAGCAAATATTGCACATGAGCAGAAATTAATTTGTGCCAATTGTAAAATAAAAACAGAGATCAAACGATTGTCACAAAATTAAAAAATGCACAAGAAAAAATACAAAAATCGTCATAAGATTAAAAAAATCGTTACAATCACAAATGGCAGTTGCAAGCAAAACCTAGTAAAGAGTAAAACAAATTAAACCAGATCTACGTTCTACCGGACTAGAATTTTAAAGAAATCGATTTTTTTCTCTTTCTCGACGTATAAAAGGGGCCTAAAAGTAACAATCCCTACTACACGTTAATTTCAGTCGTTACGTTTTAAATTTAGAATATAAGTACAAGCACCGAACCTTTTTCGGGTAGCTTCAAAACACCGAACCAGCGCATTTCGAAAACTACGCTACATTTCAACCCAAATGACAGATGTCTAATGTCAAAACTGACAGATCGACACCCTAAAATAACAAGGTTTTATGTCAAGAGTGGGGAACATATAACCTTGTAAAAACAAACTCAAATTTTTCGGTTTTTAACATACAACCTTGTTATATTAGGGTGTTAGATGGAAAATGTCGAAAGTGACAGCTGTCAAAAATGTCGGATTTAAGAAATGACAGATGGCAAATGTCAAAGCAACACAGGTCAAAAATGGCAGATAGCAATTATTAAATGACAGATGATAATGTCAAAAATTACAGAGAGCAAATATCAAAAGTGACAGATGTCAAAAGTGACAGATGTCAAAAGTGACAGATGTCAAAAGTGACAGATGTCAAAAGTGACAGATGTCAAAAGTGACAGCCTTCAAAAGTGGCAGATGTTAAAAGTGACAGTTGTCAAAAATGACAGTTGTCATTTTTGACAGATGTCAAAAATTACCTGTGAAAAAATGACAGCTGGGAAACCTTGAAATTACAAGGTTCCAAGTGCAGTTGCACCGTCAAGTAAAAATAACTTATCTACAATATTTAATATTGTAGATAAGTCATTTTCGCTTAACAGAGCAGCTGCACTTAGAACCTTGACATTCCAAGGTACCAATACGTCAAAAATGACAAATGTCAAAAATAACAGATTGTAAATGTCAAAAACTACAGATTTAAAATGTCAAAAATGAAAGATTGTAAATGTTAATTGACAGATGACAAATGTCAAGAGTGACAGATGTCATAAGTCAATCGTAACAAATGTCAAAAATGACCGACAGCAAGTTACCAAAATGACAGATAGAAAAGCCAAAAATGACAGATAGCAATCTCAAAAATGACATTTCGCTGATGCCAAAATGACATTTTGCAAATGACAGATAGTAAATCTTAAAAATGACATTGCAAATGTTGAAAATGAGAGATTGAAAATGTCATTAATGACAGATTGCAAATGTTAATTCACAGATTACAAATGACGGATAGCAAATGTCAAAAAAGTAAAAAATGACTGATAGCAAGTTAGCAAAATGACAGATGGAAATGCCAAAAAAGACAGATAGCAAATCTCAAAAATGACACTTGGCTATTTTCAAAAATGACATTTAGCAAATGCCAATGACAGCTGTCAAAAATTCCAGATTAACCAAATGCCAAAAATGCCAAAAACGTCCGTCATTCGGGTTGGGTTCGTTTGGCGTCGTACCGATAATAGGATTGCTATATTTATTCTCCCCCCGGAGCACCCGCTGACTAGCTCAATACATGCTGAAAAACTTGTCGACTATCTCGCCGAGGGGTAGGGTCTGCTCCTTCTCGGCGACCGGTTTGATTTTGCTCCTGATGTCGCGCCACTCGCGCATCTTCTGGCTGTACAGGTTCATGCTGTGCACGTCGCACAAGGTCGAGTAGACGTTTATCAGGCCGCGATAGTCGTACTCCAGGCCGGAGTAAGACTCCCCGAACAAATTCAGGTTGATCTCGATCGAACGCATGTACAGCTTCTCGGCGTCCTGGTGCCTCTTCATGTGGTAGTTGTACAGGCTGGCCAAGTGGCCTATGCTCAAACCTACCTCGTAATCCTCTTTTCCTGCGAAAACAACACCATCGTCAGTGTTTTTCTTGGAAACACTGAAAAACTTACCTAGCAACTCTTCCTTGATCGCAATCGCTCTTAAATGCATCAGTTCCGCCTCCTTGTTCCTCTTCATGCTCTGATACAAGCGCCCCATGTTCCCGTAATGCTTCGCAGTTTGGACGTTTTTCTCTCCGAACGCTTTCAGCGATAACTCCAGCGCGGTCTTGTGCAACTGCTCCGCCTCCTTCAGGAAGGAGTCCTGCAACTTCGGGTTGTGGGCTTCGTCGAGCGCTTGCTCTTCCAAGATCAAGGCTTTTACTCTTTTCACGGAGGAGAGCATCAGGTGGTCCCTGGGCAGGATGTTGTCCATGATGCGGATGGATTTTTCAGAGTGATCCCTGACAAATTAAAATGCAATGTTACACAGTAACCCAATAAAACATGTCAATCAGCAGGGATATATCTGGTTGAACAAAAAATAACAAATGGCTTAAATCCATCAAATTGTCCTAAAACTATGAAATATCTAAATTATCATAAAAATGTTAAAAAGTAGTAAAAAATGTCAAATCTCAAAAGTAAAAGATGACAAATGTCAAAAGTAACAGATGTCAAAAATGAAAGACGGGCAATGTCAAAGCCACAGGTCAAAAATTGAAAAAGTCAGAAATGGCAGATTGCAAATTTTTAATGACAAATGACAGGTGGCAAATGTCAAAAATAAAAGAAAACAAATTTCAAAAGTGACGGATTTAAAAAATGACAGATGCCAAACATGACAGATGGGAAATGTCAAAGCAACACAGGTCAAAAATAGCAAATGTCAAAAGTGGCAGATTGCAATTATTAAATGACAGATGAGGAATGTTAAAAATAACAAATTTCAAGGTGACAGATGTCAAAAATGGCAAATGTCAGCAGTGACAGATGGCAAATGTCAGCAGTGACAGATGTCAAAAGTGACATCTGTCAAAAGTGTCATATGTCAAAATTAACATATGTCAGAAGTGACATGTAAAAATTGGCAGTTGTAGAAAGTGACATGTCGAAATTGACATATTTCAAAAGTGAAAGATGTCAAAAGTGACTCAAAAGTGACATGCGTTAAAAGTGACAGATGTTAAAAATGACCGATAAAAAATTGAAGATGGCAAATGTCAAGAATGACAGATGTTAATATTGACAGTTATCAAATATAAAAAGCAACATGGGTTATAATGGCAAATGTCAAAAATGACATATGTCAAATTTTAAAAATGGCAGATTGCAAATGGTAAACGACAGATGATAAATGTCAAAAATGACGGATGTTAAATGTCAAGCGTGACAGATTTTAAATGTCAAAAATGGCAAATGTCAACAATGACCAATGGCAAATGTCAAAAATGATAAATGTCAAGAATGACAAACGTCAAAAATGCCAGGTGGCAAATGTCCAAAGTAACAGATGCCAAAAATGACAGATGCCAAATTTTAAAAATGGCAGATTGCAAATGGTAAACGACAGATGATAAATGTCAAAAATGATAAATATCAAGAATGACAAACATCAAAAATGACAGATGGCAAATGTCAAAAATGGCAACTGTCCAGAGTGACAGATGTCAAAAACGACCGATAAAAAAGGAAAGATGGAAAATGTTAAAAGTCAAGAATGACAGATGTCAAAAATCACAAATGCCACATTTTAAAAATGGCAGAATGCAAATAGTTAACGACAGATGATAAATGTCAAAAATGACAGATGACACATGTCAAATATGACGGATGGTAAATGTCAAACGTGACAGATTTTAAATGTCAAACATGGCAAATCTCAACAATGACAAATGTTAAAAATGACAGATGACAAAAATAATATATGTCAAGAATTACAAACGTCAAAAATGACAGATGACAAATGTCTAGAGTGACAGATGTCAAAAACGACAGGTGGCAATGTCAAAAAAGACAAATGTCAAGAATTACAAACGTCAAAAATGACAGATGACAAATGCCCAAAGTAACAGATGTCAAAAATGACAGATGCCAAATTTTAAAAATGACAGATTGCAAATGGTAAACGACAGATGATAAATGTCAAAAATGGCAAATGTCAACAATGACAAATGTTAAAAATGACAGATGTCACATGTCAAAAATTATAAATTTCAAGAATGACAAACGTCAAAAATGACAGATAGCAAATCTCAAAAATGACATTTGGCAAATGCCAAGTTTAATTAAAATGTAATGTTAGACAGAAACCCAATAAAACATGTCAAATAGCAGGGATATATATTGTTTAACAAGTAAGAACAAATAGCTTAAATCCGCCAAATTGTCTTAAAACTTCCTTCACTTCTACTATGAACTGTCTAAATTATCATAAAAATGTTAAAGTAGTAAATAATGGCT